TGCCGCCCAAGAATCAAGATCCAGATAACAGCCTATTTAGACCTTGGCCGTATCGTCTCAGTGTTGCCAACTCGCTATCTCTCGCCGGGACCGAGAGCTTTAGTGTGTGTGCGTGTTTGTCTGTTTTTGTGCGTGTGTGTGTGTGCGATGGCGGTGGGGGGGGGTGGAGGGTGGGGGGTGTAGATGAGATTGCCTCCTCACAGTTTCCGGGTTCTCATCTCCTGTAACGAGGTGTGACTAATTATAATTTCAATTCATTCATTCATTATGTATCATGTTTATCTATTTAGTTAGTTTAATATCATTCATTGATATGTATTTTATTTTATCTAATTTGATATCTTTCGTTTTTTTTTTTTTTTTTTTTTTTTTGGGGGGGGGGGGGGGGAAGTTAGCCAGCAGAGAATTAATTCGAAAAAAAATATATATTATATAGGGTTAGTAGAATAATGGGAGAAAATTCGAGAGCGACCAAGTAAAAGCCGTGTCACACTAGTACTTTTTCCGTCAATTTTTGAAAAATTTTATTTTGATAAATACAAACATTACTCGAATATAGCTTTGATTTGACAGCGCTTCGCTTGGCTTGGAAAAAGTTGACGGAAAAGGTTTCGTTTGACCTAGAAAATCGACAATGTCGCTCAAAAATGAGAAAATTGTCCAAAAAATATTCAAAAAAAAAATTTACGGAAGAAAAGTGCTAGTGGTGACGCAACCTTCAGGGTCAAATTATTAATAAAACATAATGAGACAGTTGATAAAAAAATGATAATGATGATAATTGCAAAATCAAAATAAATTAACATTATGTAATTCTGCCAGTTGTCAGTGTTCTAAAAGTTGAAATAGATTAAATCGAACAATAACAGGAAACAATACTTATTGATGATTAACAATTTTGTAGCTAGAATTCAAGGCATCATTATTAGGCTCTGCTTATAAAAGAAAAATATTTACAGGCAATATTATCAATAGTTGTACTTGGTGTTTTCTGGTTAATTTAACCTCTACGGCCAAGGGACTTTGTCAACATAAATTTTCTTAAATATTTGGCACCATCTTCTCTTTCCTTCTCTCCTCCTCATCCTTTCTTCTTCCCATCTCTTATTTTCTTCCTCCCTACCTTTCAATTTTTTTTTTCTCTCTTCAATCCTCCTTTCTCTTCTTTCTTTCTTCTCTCCTCCTTTCTCCTCTTTCTCTCCCTCCTCCCTCCTTATCTCTTCTCCTCCCTCCTCCTTATTCTTTTCTCTCTTCCTCCTTCCTCCTTTCTCTTCTTTCTCTCTTCTACTCCGTCTCTTCTTCTCTCTCCTCCTCCTTTTCTCTCTTCTTTCTTTCCTTCTCTCCTCTCTTCTCTCTCCACACCTCCTCCTTTTCTCTTCTTCTCTCTCTCCTCCTTTCTCTTCTTTCTATCTCCTCCTCTTCCTTTTCTTTCTTTCTCTTCCTCCCTCCTCTTCGTCCTTCTCTCCTCTCTCGTTTTCCTCTCATCTCCTCCTCCCTCCTTGTCTCTTCTTCTCTCTTTCCTCCCTCCTCCTCCTCCTCCTCTTTCTCTTTCTCCTCCTCATCTCTCTTCCTCCTTTTTCATTCCTCCTCCTCCCTTCTTCTTTTTCTTCTTCTTTCCTCTCTTCCTCTCCTCCTTCTCCCCTTTTCTCTTTCTTTCTTTCTTTCTCCTCCTCCCTCCCCCCTCTCTCTCGTCTCTTTACTCTCCCCCCCTCCTTTCTCTTCTTCTCTTCTCTCCTCCTCCTCCTCCTTTCTCTTCTCTCTCTCTCCTCCTCCTTTCTCTCTCTTCCTTCCTGTTCTTTCTCTCTTCCTCCTCCTTTCCTCATCTTTTCTCTCCTCTTTCCTCCTCCTCCTCCTTTCTGTTCTTTCTCTCTCTTTCCTCCTCCTCCTCCTCCTCCTTTTTCTTCTTCTCTCCCTCCTCCTCTGCTCTCTTCTCTCTCTCCCTCCTCTTCCTTTCTCTTCTTTCTCTCTCCTCCTCCTCCTCCTTTCTCTTCTTTCTCTCTCCTCCTCCTCCTTTCTCTTTCTTTCTCATCTTCCTCCCTCTCTCTCTTTCTCTCTCCTTTCTCTTCTTCTCTCTCCTTTTTCTCTCTCCTTTCTCTTCGCTCTTCGCTTTCCTCTCTCTTTTTTCTCTCTTCCTCCTCCTTTCTCTTCTTTCTCCCTCTTCCTCCTCCTTTCTCTTCTTTCTCTCTCTTCCTCCTCCTCCTCCTTTCTTTCTCTCTCTCCTTCCTTCTCTTCTTTCTCTCTCCTCCTCTCTCTTTTTTCTCTCCCTTTTCCTACTCCTTCTTTCCATATCGTGCTTTTATTAGATATCTTACTTTTCGAGGAGCAAAGTGTCCATTTGTCTGCATAGCAATGTGCAAATCACCAATATGCATAAGTCACTGTGGTAGCCACACAGTGCTAGATCAGGTTACTATCCAATTTGTACCCAATTCCTCCTTATGAAGAAATTCGAAAACCTTGAGGCGTTGGCAATGGTCTAATGTCAGTGAGGATAATGAGA